TAGATAAGTGATTTCCTATTTCAAAGTTTGTGTGTGTAAATAATAAAGCCCATAGCTGGACACATAATTACTTTTAAGATGAATAATTCTGCCTTGATGTATCTCATCCCTAACGTGTCTTTTTTTTTTTTTTTTGTGCAGTTTCACCCGCTGTCCCTGTGCAATGCTAGTGATGACGATCCACCAAAATTTGGATTCATCTCAATTGTCAAACTGGAGAGCCCGGAGCGCTCTCCCCAGCCTTGTTTATCTCTGGCAAACAAGGTAAATGACTGCCTTTTATTAACTCTGTAGCCCTATAATTTATAATATCATTGATTTCCTTTATGTAGATGTGATTAGGCATGTATGTTACAAATGTGTTCAAAATGTACAACCAAGTGAGAATCACTTAATGTGTATCCACAGGGCTAAAAAGTATTACAGCTACTGTAGTATATATCAGGGACTGAAATTTTGTAACATCACCATGAGGAATTGTGTTTAGCAAAACCAATGCTGGTGTGCACAGTACTTTGACTTGTCTCCGGGTGCTTTTCTGTCTTGCTTTTGATCAAACAGCCATCTGCTGACCTCTGACCTTGCACCTGAAGCGCTGTAATGCAGTAGGCAGATGGTGATACAAGCAATCTGTTTCCCATGTCATCTGTGCACCATAGCGTACTTCACAAAGTGGTTTTATGCTTTCTACAATTATGTTTGTGGGTTTAAGTTTGGATGTCTTTATCCAATAAAAATTCCCCTAGAAACATATTACAGGAAATATTACTTGTATTTGTTGAATGTAGAATTTGGTTGATTTTGATCTTTTGAAGCAACATGAGATTTTTGTAAGATGATTTGTCATTTTATACGTTTTTTTTTTGTTTTTTTTTCCTGCTCATAATGTATCACTGAAAACGGGGATTAGGAAAAAAAAGTTGCATTAATTGGCCAATGAACTCAAAAGTTTTTTTTTTCTTTTTTCTTTTTTTTTTTTCCAATTTGTTTCAATTTTGCAGACATGTATTAGACAACATAGCCTGGCTGGAGGAGAGTAACAAGGATAATGAAAGCTATCAGGGATATGTAACATTTTGCTACTAATGGGCTTACTTCTATTTACTTTCAATTTCTTTTTAGCTGCAAGCCATGTTCAAAAGTATCCCTCTCTCATCTGCCAAAGCTTTTTTTTTTGGCTGTACTTCTCCTGTGGATCACAGGAGTGCAGTTCGTTCTGCACTCCTGTGACCAGGGGCGGACTGACAACTCATGGGGCCCCCAGGCAATAGGGGATCATGGGGCCCCTGTGTCCTTGCCCAAACTCAAAAAAGCCTATGAAAAAGGTACCAGAGGCATCTCATGGGGCCCTCTACTGACCCCAGGCCCTCGGCAGTGCCCAAGTTTCCAGATGGTCAGTCCACCCCTGCCTGTGACCCATTTTCAGCTGACAGTGGATTGACGTCCGCTGTCAGCTGACATCACTCAGCCAGTCTAGGCAGGGGAAAGATCCCAACTTCAAAGTCGGGATCTACCCCAGAGTCTGGAGCGGCACCTTCCTCAGCTTCTTAACAAAGCGCTGAGCCAGCCGCTTCCTCCCCCTCCACAGCCCAGCGGTCCAGTTGAGCTCTGAGGGGGTCGAGCAGACAGTGGTGACTGACAGTCCCGCTCTCTGCTCAGAGTGGCTGTGATCAGCGGTAATGTGATTTCTTAATTCTCACTGTTAGAGCTGGCGGGGAACAGATGCAGCATCGGAGCGATGCTGCATCTACCTTGATAAGTATAAGTAGGGGAAAAAAATGCTACTTCTTTTAAACTTCAATCTTTTATGGAACCTGAAAAAAGCTGTATTTTAGATACAGAAATGTACAGGGTAGAAATGTACCATTTAGTTCCTGATGCAAACAAGGGGGCCTACCTGTTCAGTACTTCTGTTTATAATTCATTTCCTTTCTCCATCCCTCTCCCTTTTGTCTCTATGCCTAAAGACACCAAATGTAGGCTGTTGCAGCCACCAATTATATTTAAGCCTCCATAGAAATGTGAATCAAAGTACAAATGTCACACAGCACATTTACATTTTGAGACGTACATTTACCTTGGGCGGTGCTTTCTGGATCCTGGTTACTGTTGATTATAAGAATAAAGCCCAACTCCGGGCAACATTTTTTTTCCCCCATGCAGTGGGGCTGTGCCTGCAGTGCATGGGTTAACTGCTTTCTAGGGGAGAGGAGAGCGAAGATATACTTATCTTCCGATCCTCCTAGCACAAGACCAGTTCGGCACCCCCATGCTGTAGCAGTCTTGAATAGTGGACTATTCCTTCTTCTGACATCATCATGCCCAGAGTAGGCTCCATAGACTGGGAACAGTCCACTACCGGACCATGTGGGAGCTCCGTTTTTCGGAGGATTGAAAGATGTGGTGAGTATGAGGTTTCTGCTCACTGCTAGACAAAATGAGCAGTTGACCCCGTGGAGTGCAGGCACAGCCCCCCGGAATGGGAAAGTTTGGGGTTTTTTTTGCCTGTAAAGGTAAATGGAGTATTCTTTCTAATTTTGGTACAGTTGTAGTGTTTGCTGACCAATAATAGTAGGTCACTTGTTTTTGTTTTCACTAGTTGGCCATACATTGCTCTGTGACAGAAGAAGGAGATTAGTCTGCTTAGAAACTGCTGCTGCTGAGACATAGCTAAAGCTGAGAAATTTCCTCTACAATAGCGCACTGAGCAGGACTATACATAGAGCTAAATGCAAACGTATTTCAGGAGACAAAGTGAAACTCAGATATATTATTATATTATTATTATACAGTATTTATAAAGCGCCAATGGTTCGCTCAGCGCTGTACATTACAAAGGGGGACAGAACATGTGACAGAACAATACCAATACAATACAAACAAAACATGAGGGGATTGAGGGCCCTGCTCTTTCGAGCTTACAATCTAGGAGATATAGGAATTATCTTGGACACAGGGCTTTGAAAGATTCTTCAGTTCTTACCAATCTTGTTATAATGTAATGACCCTCACTGGAGATGGTGCATACAGTTAAGTTTGTGTTAAAATGTATTTGATTTGTCAGATATATTATATAGCTCATTATCCTAGTCCTCTATAAAGATTAATGATGAGTTGTACATTCCAGCACTTTTTGGGTGTGCAAATACCAAACTATCCTTTTTGTCACCTTTCTCTTTTTTTCTGTGCCTCCTTCATCCCAAGTTGTTTTGTTTCAGTCTGTACTCTCTCGTCTCTTGTTTTAGGTCCGCCTTGCAGGGGAGAGAGGATCTCGCGCAATGTTGTTTGATATTACTGATGATGCGGGAGCTGCAGATCAGGTATAATTGGTGTTGTGTAATCTGCACAATATCTTGTTTTATTCCTTTTGTACTTGTCTGTATTTCTTCAGTTATAATTTTGTACCAATTTACCCATCACTTCTTAATATACTTATGTGCAGCATTATCATAGCTCTAAGGACTTACGGCAGGGGTGAAAACAGGCGGTTAAGTTGAGGTTTTACTGCCCACCTAAAGCCTACAATACAGCAAGAGAAGGTTGTTTGCATGCCAAAGCTGCAGCAAATTCAAAGCAGCATGTCAAGTTGACCAATCAAGTCAGTGTGGTCATGCTGCAAGCCAATCAGCTGAGGCACATTAGTCTCATTAAAAAGGGATTGAAAAGGGATCTGGAAGGATCTTCTCCTGAACACCTGACAGCAGCTGCTTAGCTGCACGCTGAAAAGCCACTGCGAAATGCTTTTCAGAGAATGGGCAAGATTTAGGGTAGGGTAGTTATACATAGCTTGATTCCTCTTTCAGCCTGTAGGCTGAATGAGAGAAAATCAACTGATTTCCCATTCATGCTACACAGCGTGCATGAAGGAACCTCCACTGCTGGCTATTGTTTTCTGGCAGCTGCAGCACCCATGGCTGCATGTATACAGTGGCACTTCCAAACAGGGACTGCACCTGATACAATATAGTCAATGTTCAGCCGATCATTTGTCACCTGGCTCAGCTGATTTTTTTAAATTAACTTGTCAAGCCAAGTGTTTGTAGGATTACTTAAGTGCTTTGGATTTCATTTCTTGCTGAATTTTTTTTAAATGGGGTGACAAGCTTAAATGTCCAAAAAGACAAAGTTATTCCTACAACCTAATAAATTCAAATACCAAATTTTGTTCACCTCCAGACACTGACTAGAGGGACATTGCAAGTTGAATGGCTGAGCACTCCTATTATGGAGATGTAATTGAGGTTGATTGTCAGCCCAGCATTATCAGTCACACCGACATCATTGTCTCGGCTTCGCTTTCAAGTCACATGCACAAACACAGTCACCATCAGATACTCAGAGTGTCTGTGACTGTTTGGGTCCATGTGTATGTAGGGGTTAGGTGTAGTGGAGGTGGGTGGGGGGGTGTAGTCAGGCACTGAAGATGGTCTTTGGAGGTATTGTCTTCTAATGTCCCCCATAACTTATCCTTGCAGTTATAAAAAAAAATATATAAAGGTTCACAAAGTTGCTAGTTATGCATGCTGTTTTTTTTTAACACACACTATAATTTTTGTATCAGTGTATTCAGATCACATAATAAAATATTGTAGAAGTGTGAAACTGTCATGTTTTTGACATGGTATAGTCATTTAGCTGCTGTAGGCTTTATTTCCTCATGAATCATTAGACGTTAGCCTGATTTTAGTAGGCAGAAGTTCATGTAGTAATATTTGTGAACTGACTGTTATGTGCAAGAATAATGCACGTAGTTAATTCATTTGTTTCATGCTAAAAATCTTTTCGTGAACTAAATATTGACCTCTAAGTGGGGGTATAATAAAAATATGGAATCCCCCACCCTATGGTTTCTAAGAGTAAAATGTTTAGAAATGTTACCTTCTTTGTTTTACTTTTAGTTACAGCAACCAGCTGGGTTGAGTCAGCCTGTGGTGCTATTACGGGACAGTGCTGCTGAACAGTTGATGAACCTTGTGCACAACAACACAGAGGCTCGGGTGATGATTGAGGTTAAGGAGCAGCCCAAGTGGGTGAGGCAGAGTTTGTAATTATACTGGGGGGGTTGGTGGAACCAAATGGTTGATTAGAAGGAACTTCCTGAAAATAGTCCTATCACATGGTTAGTAAATCCTATTTCTCTTCTCACAGCCTGACCATGACATCTGGATTCTGGTCACAGTGGTGGGCACAGTCTCAGTCATTGTCTTATACGCTGTCATCCGGCTTCGCTGCAAGCAGACATCATCACAGGTAAAGCTTATCTTTAAAAACGAAACCCTGCGCATAGAGGAAACATGGAGGTGGCCATTGCTCACCTCTTCTGAAATGCCAGTTGCCTGGCTGGCATGCTTGCTCCTTTTGACTCAAATTCTTTTGACTTTCTTGATATGCGTGCTTGTTCTGGGTCAGTGACTTAAAATGCATCAAGCCACTGAGTAAGAACAGCGAGGTTAACTGTGGTTGTCCCCATAATTTTGTATATGTGTTGGAATCCCATGCAAATTTTCAGGCACAATGATTTTAAAAGATCTCTTTAACTGCAAGTGTGTAGACAGAATACAAAATGTTTTACATTGTCAAGGGTTAAAAATTTTTTTTGTTTTTTTTTTGTTTCGGCTTCATTGTGTGCATAGCTTTGCATGTCAATCACTGACTAATTTCTGAATATATCTGCCTCTAGTAGCAATATAAGTTAACTGTAGCAACGGAGAAAAAGATGGAAAATGAAATTTCCATTATTACTGGCATTGTACTGACACTTAGTCTTGGTTCACACAATGACTTGTTGCACTGTAAGCTATGTACCACAATGCACATTGTGGTTCTACTGCATTCGGTGCAGGTGTGTTGGAGTAACATTATAAACTAATGACACTGCAATGCACCAATTTTTTGCGTGATATGCCCAACATAGCACTAGTCAGCCTCTCTTTCTTTTGTTGTGCCCCAACTGTGAACACCTATTTTGCAATAAAATATATTCATAAAGCTGCCAAAATTGTGCTAATTAGCACTTTTTAAAGGCACAGATTTTCAAACGGAAATGGAATATTATACAGAAAATGATCCTGTCCCTAACTTGTGTTATATATAAAAGTGATAGATTAGCAACTGTGGTAATGGGGTTAGAAGAGTACAGAATGCCTGGTAAATGTACTTTGCTTTTCCTTCCAGGACTCTTTACAGCAGCAGACTTCATTGGCCATAAGCCGACTGGGTACCAGAAAATATCAGCCTCGAAGGTCGAAAGATTGGCGTACAAATGGTTGCAGAGTGGAAACTGCAAGCACCAGCAGTTCTGTGCCAGTGTGTGCTGTATGTCTAGAGGAATTCTCAGATGGACAGGTAACTAACTGACCAATACAGTTTACTTTTGTGAATTCACTGACACCCCAGCTTTCTCAATTGGGAAAACACATCATACACTGGCAGCTACTGTCTTTAATTAAATAGTTCCCTCTGCAGCTTGATGGATGGTTGGTGATGATTTGCCTAGGGCCATATTTAGGCACTTTGCCAACAGCTTGCAGTAGTTTGGATATCTATTCTCCAAAGTTGCCTTCCACTGTACCAGTATCAGAGATAAAAACATGTTTGTCCCCCCCCCCCCCACTGCTTTTTTTTTTTAATGTAAAGATGCTAATGTGCCATAAATATCTATGAGTAATAATTAGCACCATTCTTTAGTAGAATGTTACCTACTCTTTCACATTTGTTCAACTGATACAATTTTTATTCTCCTTAGGACTTGAGGATATTGCCTTGCTGTCATGAGTATCATCTGGAGTGTATAGATCCATGGCTGAGGCAGAACCACACCTGCCCCCTGTGTATGTTTGACATCTTAGGTAAGTGAGCTCCCATGTTATTCTGACCCCAGTGCACAAAGTGGAAATGAGAGTGCATGTATGTTTGGGGTATTTTTGTTTTGTTTTTATTGGTGTGAGTAAATATTCTATAAATACATATTTCAGCTTTCGATTTGTTGTGTACTCTGACCTTTGTGACAGCCAACTCCCAATTCTGCTTGGTCTCCCTGTGCTTTCTTCCAATCCACTGCAGCCAACACCCTTACTGGGTGATTGACAGTTGCTTTGACCATTTAGAATCTGAGACTTGCTGCAAATGTAACTGACCCTTCTTCTGGACAGCTTGGCCTTCTATATTTAGTTTAAAAATAAAGGATCTTATGGCAAGATCAACTGGTAATACAACTACGGTGTGCATTCTGGTAAAACAAACAGTGTTTGAATCAAAGTATGTTAAAATTGAAAAATAAAAATGAAATTTTCTTTCACTTTTAATAATAAAGGTATTGTAAATAGATGGTGTTTTTTTTCACAAGAAAACAGGTCTGTCACCCAACAGTTCTCAACTTCATTCCCCCTTTACAAAGGTTTTCTACAAATTTAGCATATTCATTAAAGAACAGCCAGGGTCCTATGAGCATAACCTAACCTCTGATCTGACCTTGACACACCACAGCCCAAGAAGAAAAACTCTGCGCCTCTAAATTTTCCAAAAAAACATTTTCTCAGTGTAGAACATTTTGCATATCCCAGTAGGAAGTATGTGAACAGCATCTGCTATAATTTTCCAGCTTGACTAGTGGTCACAGCTCCACTGACCTGAACAGATGGTGTTGTACAGTGCTAATGTAGCCATTTATACCAGTCAAAATTATGTTATCTGATGACCTGCATCCCTTCTGGAATTAGGCAGATTCATCTTGGTATTATTTAGTGAAAACTATTGGGTTATTTTCAGCGAAAAAATTGCTTGGTATTTGTGTGTAAATGAGAAACCTACACATTAAAAGTAGCATATTGGCTCCAAGAGATTAATATATTGACTTGCTGTTTAACGCATTAAAATATTTGGATGTTATATTTTTAACATACTGAACTTTTTTTTAAATAAAAACTACTATTTAATAGATAAATAGGGATTTTATTTATATAAAAAAATTATGGTATCAACACCCTATTTGCTCATAATGAGCCAGGTTTTGCGTGGGAATGGAAAAAAATAAACATCTATACTCACCTTTATGGCTGAGCAATCACATGACCGTTAATCACTCAGTTCTCGATCTACTCTAAGTAGGGGGTGGTTACTATCATTCACTGCTCTCTGTCCCTCCAGTGCTCACTGGAGCCCCGTGCTGGGTAAGGGGTGGGAGGGGCTGGCTCAGAGGAGTGTATTAAAGCATTAATACAGTAGATTCTGCCTGTTTGTTGAATATGTAAGGCTCTATTTAGGTTAGTAGAATGTATTTCTTATGGTGTTTTTTTTTTATGTGTTTTCTACCAGCAGAAGTGAACACCCCTTCACGTCCAGCACAGTCCCGTACCCATGCACAGCCACAGTTTTGGAGACCTTATCCAGGTTCTGCTACTTTGCAGTATCCTCTACAGCCCCACTCTACATCCTTAGTGTATCCTCCAATGAACAATAGGATATTTGTGTCCCGCACACCCTATTTTCTTGGCACTGGACAGCCCTGGGATGCACCAGCGCCTCGCCATCACCGATGGGCACCAGAGGGCCCCAGGGAAGTGGTAATCCCTCCTCACTCTCAGGTGTCAAGTGGATATTTACCAGATGACCCAGGCAGTGACAGCAGCTCAGGTCCATTTAATGGTGGGTCCTCCAGTGAGAACTGTACAGATGTCAGTCTACGTTGCTTACAAGGTTCCTCCTCTTCCTCCTCTTCTTGCCACAGCTCCCAGAGCAACCCAGGGGATTCTCCCCCTCCAGCACTTGCATCTATTCTTCTACCTCAGAATGATCTCCCAGGATTCAACACTATTGTGCCAACACAGAATTCTTATGCTAGTCATGTTCATTATCACCAGCATCGACATCACCATTACAGACGTCACCACCCTAATGTGTCCCACCCCCACAGAACCAAAAGGAGGCCTCGGCCCTCGAGAGGGGAGGTCAGGACAGACTTGGGGTGTCAGAGGGAACACAGGACATCTAATAGTGGAGAATCTAGATCTCTTTTAACACGTAAAGAACCCAGGGCTCTATCATCTAGGCATTGCCTTGATCAAAGGACTAATCGAGAGGCTATCAGGCAAAACCAGTCCTCACCACTGTCACCTTCTCAAACACATGAGCCAAATGAACCTGAACTCTCAACTTCTTTACGGAACCACAAGGCTGAACCTTTAAGTAGAAGCCACCGAAAGAAAAGATCCTCTGCAACAGTGCAACCTCCCCCTCACAGTTCCCGCCACTTCTGCACCAACCTTGGTGTTCAGCACTGTGAAAGAACTCAGCCCATGTGGGTGGAGGGTGGCAGACTTGTACATGCTAGACTTAACACACACAGAGAAAACACAGCATTGATGCACTTGTATCACCCACCTCATCATGACCAGGGTAAGTATTTCAGACTTGGTATCTTAAAGTCAAACTTCAGCCAAATTATTTTTGTGTTTTGGAAAGTGTGGAGAAAAATTCAAATATCCATCAAATGTTATTTCTGTCTGTGACGACATTAGGTAGATTTTCCCTCACCTTATATCCCAGTGAAGACTTGTAAGAGAAGTAGGATGGTTGTTTCCTGGACTGAAACGCACATACAACAAAGAAAACATTGTCAGAGATTCTAACCCTTCTTTTGCTAAAACTGCGCTTTTGTTCTGGTCTGTGTTGTGGAGATTTCCCATCACTTTCTCTTCTGACAGGAAGAAAGGAGAAATCTACCCAAAAGGTACACACATGGCAATAAAACCCAATAGAGGCTCCAACCCGTTTCCTGCTTTATTAAAAATGAAAAGTTTAGACTGATGTTGGCCTTTATAAAACTCCCCCCAGCCTTCCCTTTATAAGTCAACACTTTGAGGACCAAGGGACGTATTTGTCCCATGCTTTTAATTGCGTGTATCATCTGATTAGGAACTTAAAACTTTTTTTTTTTTTTTCGTTTGAGTCAAAACATTAGTTCTTATCAACAAACAACAAATGGATCTAGCTTTTGCCAATTATTTCATGAAATGGCTTAGTTACAGCAACTGAAGTGTACGAACTTTAAAAACAAAAAAATTGATTCTTTTGGCATTCCAAAATCTTACGGTCCTCAAAGGGTTAAGGTTGTGGGCATGTTACAGTTTTATACACCAAATATCTTTTTGTATATGTAGTCTGTCAATATATTACACATCTTTTTATTCCAAATTTAATTTTATAAAATATACATATCCAAATCTGCTGCTAAATTAGGAACCCATCTATCCATAAAAAAGGATAAATCCAGGAATCCTTCTCAATGAAGCATTTACATAAAGAGTGCATACTATAAGTTTCTTATTTGAATAAGTGGTCCTTGATTTGCTTACAGGTCGCTCTTTCACACTTGAGTGTGGAAAAGTAAAATATTAAAAGTGTCCATCTCTAGATATTTGTCTAACACTGATCCTCAGAAAGTCATGTGAGTTTAGTCCAGCCTTTCTCTACCTTTTTTACCATAGAGGGCTCCTTGAAATAATTTTAATACCCCTGTAAAAAGGATTACATCTACAGCTCATAGTACATTAGATAAACCGCTCTGTGATATTCATGCTAGGGTAGAAAAATTAAGCCCCCCATCCTTGAGACAGGTAACATTATCTGAGAAAGGACAGGAAAAGCTCCACTGGCCCAACACCCAGGTGACATTATTGTCATAAATATGCAAACACCACCAGACAGGAGATCCGTTCAGTACAAAGTGTTCAAGGAATCCCTAGCAAGCTTTGGAGGGACCCTGGTTGGGAAAGGCTGCTGTAGCCAAACTGGGCTATTTTTTTTTCTTTTCCTAAATCAAAAATACAGTTTAAAGGATAACTAAACCTCAAGAACAAAACATATTTTGAAGCCTCTAAGTCCTTATGTGTTTCAGCAGCCACAGAAAATATCTGTAGATCTTATAAAAAATGTAGCATCCCTCTCACAGTCTTCTTTCTTTTGCTTGCTAACTTCTATTATCTCCCCACCTGCCATGTAATGGAGATTACCAAAGGGAGATATAGTAGTCCAGCCCAGATTGAAATCATGGCTCCCTTTCATAGGTATAGTGGAGGCGTACGTGTAGCCACCCAGGGACAGGAAGCATTGACAAATTATTAGGGAAAAAAAAACCCAAAACACCCAAATGCATCCATTTTATTGGTTCCTGCTTTCATTCGGAGAGGGTGTCATATGGTGTCCTCCCACTTTTGCCACTCTGGTATTGAAGTGGTTAAGGACTGCTGAACTACTTTGCTTTAAAAGTTCAAACAGATGCACCATCACAACTGATCCAAATTATGTCCCAATGTTCTCAACAAAGGTGGACCCATATTCTTGCCAAGATGCCTCTTTTTTCACTGATGTCAAGCAAGAAAATAATTTACTTGGCCGTTAGAAGGGTGGACATTTAGCTGTAAAAACCAGAGTCTTTAGACTTAACTGTAAATTTGGCCCAGGAAGTTGGCTAACTCCATATTTTTACTGTTAAATGTTAAACCCATATTTAGGGTGTACCATGGTGCCACGTGCTCCCCCACAGCGGCTGTCACTTTTGAAATTGCTTGCACAGTCACTTCATTCATTCATAGATCTGTGCCACCCTGGCAGACAGACTTGTAGTTCCCAATGGGACACAAGTGTGTTGATCACCTGAGACCTGAGTCACACATGTGCAGTGCGGATTGAAGCTCAGGTTTCACAGCTAATTGACACAGTAGTTGTGTTCACATCAGGTTTAGGACAGGATTAGCTCAGGATTTTATCCTGTTCACACATATGTGGTTTAGAAACGGTTCCCATAGAAGTCAATAGCCTGTAATTCGTACCTGAGGCTGAAGGCACTGCTCAGAAATCGTATAGGACTTTTTTTTTTTTTAAAACCACATTTAATCCACCCCTCCAGTGCACCGGACATATGTGAACAGACACCATAGGAAGCAATGTTACTTCACATGTCACGCGGATTGGATGCGGTTAAAACTGCATTCAGTTTGCATATATTTGAACTGGCACTGACACTTTTTTCCAGCTCTCTAAGTGAAAGCCTGTAGCCCTGTATGGACAGATAGCTGGAAAAAGAATCTGCAGGAGCCTTGCATTGATCCTGTGATCCACTGATTGTGGGTGCAATGCTTTGCAGGCTACTGTGAATAAAAAAAATAATTGCATATTTTTATTCCTGCAAGGATATGTACATTTAGGTGGACTAAGCCTTTAAAGTGGTTCTAGAGGCTCAAGGATTTTTTACCTTCATGCATTCTATGCATGAAGGTAAAAAAAACCACCTCTGTGCAGCATCCCCCCAGCCCCCCTAATACTCACCTAAGCCCCCTCTTGATCCAGCGATGTGCACTGATGTCTCGGCGATCCCGGAACTCCCTCTCTCATTGGCTGAAACAGAAGTGGCTGTCAATCACAGCCAATGAGAAGAGAAGGGGCGGGGCCGAGCCGCGGCTTCCTGTGTGTGAATGGACACACGGAGCAGGTGATGCGCCCATAGCAAGCTGTTTGCTGTGGGGCCACCCTACAGGAGGGAATGGCCAAGAGCGCCGGCTGGAGACCCAAGAAGAGGAGGATCCAGGCTCCTCTGTGCAAAACCACTGCACACAGCAGGTAAGTATAGACATGTATGTTATTTGGAAAAAAATAAATAATAAGCCTTAAGAATCAATTTAAGCTTACCATACACTTTAAATCTGATTGCAGAGTCTCCTTTAGATATACCAGTAAGTACAGTTGTGTTCAAAATAATAGCAGTCAGACATCACTAACCTGATCAATCACTGTTTTTGGTAGAAATGATATTTCTACATGGCAAATAATTTACTAGCAGGTGTAGTAGAGTAATAGAAATCCAACAGACCCAACGGTCATGACATGCATGCTGCTGATTCTGTGTAACTGAATCACTAATTGAAAGGGGCATGTTCAAAATAATAGCAGTGTGGAGTTCTATTAGTGAGGTCATTCATTCTTTGAAAAACAGGTGGCAGTTATTGCCCTTATTTAAGGAAGGAAGGCAGCAAATGTTGTACATGCTGGTTACAGTGCATTTCTCTCTGAAATTCTGAGGAAAATGGGTCGTTGCAGACATTGTTCAGAAGAACAGTGTACCTTGATTAAAAAGTTGATTGGAGAGGGGAAAACATAAAGAAGTGCAGAAAATGATAGGCTGCTCAGATAAAATGATCGCAAATGCTTTAAAAATGGCAACCAAAACCTGAAAGACGTGGAAGAAAGCGAAAAACTACCATTCGAATGGATAGAAGAATAGCCAAAATGGCAAGGACTCAGCCAACAATCAGCTCCAGGAAGATCAAAGAAGGTCTAAAGTTACCTATGAGTACTGTTACAATTAGAAGACGCCTATGTGAAGCCAAGCTATCTGCAAGAAGCCCCCGCAAAGTCCCACTGTTGAAAAAAAGACGTGCTGAAGAGGTTACAATTTGCCAAAGAGCACATTGACTGGCCTAAAGAGAGAGAAATGGCGTAACATTTTGTGGACTGATGAAAGTAAGATTGTTCTTTTTGGGTCTAGTGGCCGGAGACAGTTTGTCAGACGACCCCCAAACACTGAATTCAAGCCACAGTACACTGTGAAGACAGTGAAGGATGATTGCGCAAGCATCATAGTATGGGGATGTTTCTCATACTACGATGTTGGGCCTATTTATCGCATACCAGGGATCATGGATCAGTTTGAATACATCAGAATACTTGAAGAGGTCATGCTGCCTTATGCTGAAGAGGAAATGCCCTTGAAATGGGTGTTCCAACAAGACAACGACCCCAAACACACCAGTAAATGTGCAACATCTTGGTTCCAGACCAACAAGATTGACGTTATGGAGTAGCCAGCCCAATCCCCGGATCTTAATCCAATAGAAAACTTGTGGGGTGACATCAAAAATGCAGTTTCTGAGGCAAAACCAAGAAATAGAGAAGAACTGTGGAATGTAGTCCAATCATCCTGGGCTGGAATACCTGTTCACAGGGGCCAGAAGTTGGTTGACTCCATGCAACACAGATGTACAGAAGTTCTCAGAAACAGCGCTTATACAACTAAATATTAAGTGATTCAAAGGAAAGCAAAATCTTCAAACATTTTTCAGTTTATATAGTGAATGTTTGAGTTTGTAAAGAAGAATACAAACACTGCTATTTTTTTTTTTTTCTGAACAGTCTAATATTCACTTTTCTTCAATTTTTTTAGAGGAACAACACAAATTTGATATATTTTTCTTCATGTTTTGATTTGGAATAGAATGTGTAGTGTTCCCAATGCATTTGTGTGTATGGAAATAAAAGCTATTAGAAGGATTTTCAGCTTTATTCACTTTTTTCAACACACTGCTATTATTTTGAACACACAACTGTATGTAGTGCAAGGGCTTGCCTGACTGGACATAAATTGATCAGATAGTTTAGGTGCTTCCTTCTATTATAAGTTTGGTAGCTCTGTTTATTATACAGAATTTGTATGGTCAGATTGTTATGTGAAAAAAGTGGCATCAAAAATGAAATCTGTATACAATAAATCCCTTTCTTCAAGTATGTGCAGAGCCTATAAAGTATGCTGCGTATAGTATAGCAAGTCGGGACAACCTATAATTACACCGCACCTGTCATCTGCGTATAAGAAAGCAGTGATTTTGCTAGCCAAACTAATATTTATGTGAGTACAGCCCATCCATTAAGCAGGATCAGTCAGATATCACTGCTTCCTGCTGAATTGATAGGTTTAAACTGACAATTGTCATTTTGATGCTTCCATTAATCTAACGAGAATTAACTGTAACTGCACACTCTATTGCTCTACAGAAGTACATTTTTTGTGTAAGAATGTTTCTGTAATATTAGGTTTAGTCTCCCTCAGGTATAATAATAAGGGTGCATAGCTTTGAATGTATTTTATTTCATGCAAATGCTTTCTCATTGTACATTCTAACTTTCCCCCTCATCCTACAGGTGCTGATACTGAAGGGATTGAAGCTGTTTGTGAACATGCAGTGTAAAATCCAGCAGTACATTCATGTTTGGCATGACCCAACAGTACAGACTGCAGTGGTGGGGGATGCAGAGTCCCTAGCACTTGCCTTCTAATCCAAGCTTCCAGATCCTCCCTCAGCCTTTAAGGTCATTTTCCACCCTTTTCATCTCCGCAGAGTCTGTGCAGCTGCTGACTTAGTCCACAACATCTGTGCATGTGAGTTTACACTTCCGGCTTCTGAGCTCTGCTGAAAAATGTCCAGATCATGTAGTCAATTCTCTAAGCATATTAGTTACATGCCACGTTGCTGTGCCAAGGGTTTAGTGGCTCGGAAAATAAGGGGAAGGGTAGATTAAATGGGCAAATTTGCCTTATTTAAAAATAAAAACAAAGGGAGTAAACTAGCGGTGTAATTCACAAGACTTTGCTTGCGGTAAATAGTGTGGTAAGATGCTTTGATAAAATGGAAATAAGGTTGATTTGGACAGCCTTTGGAGTAACAGATGCTGTTCTCCAGACCGATGTGAATGGGCTTAAGCATTTTCTCAGGCAGTGTGTGATTGTCCAGCTGTTGATCTGCAAACTACACCTGTGAATGACTCGAGTAGAATTTCTAGATGTTTAAGGCTGGTTGAACCATGAAACATTGGTTAAAGATACTTTCAGGAGGAATGTGGTAAACTGCTGTATGTAAAACGTGCACACAGTTTACAGGTTACACGCACATACATGCAGCAGCCTCATAACCTTCATGGCCAAATATCAGGCTGCTAAAGCTTTGACACTTCTAGGTGATTTTGGTTCTTTCACATTACTGTTGGCCCATCCATGAGCAAGTGGGAATGTGCACGTGGTAGGAAGACCAGCTTTGGTATCATCAGGAAGTACTGAAACTGTGCCTGTCAGAATAGACCAAGGTCCAGCCATGGCAGGAAGGTCACTGACAGTCTCTAAAATAAATATCCCTGATGTTGATTAGTAGTAATGACATATATGATACCTGGGAACTGGCCATGTCTAAACAGCATCGCATCGGTTTAACAGATTTGACTATATGTACAGCAATGGGAAAGCCTGAAATTTGAGGCAAACATTTTTAGTCTAGCAGTTGGCTGCATCACTGGAGTGCAGTTAGTACATAAAGGCATTCAAAAACTGTTATTTCTGCAGGAATGACTCAGGTGAGTGGGATCACTTTCCTGCCCTCTAGGTAACTCGAACAATGAAATGTACCCACTCTGACCACTCCAATGTAAAGTCATACTCCCCATCCTGCACTTTTTTTGTAAACATATTTGTAAATATTGTTAAAACATTGAACAGTGAGAGTGAGACTGCCTTGGGATATTGGACCCAGAATTTCAAATTTAGAAATTTCACTACCCAAGTTTCCCACGCTGCTTATGTGTGAATTCTACCAGAAAACAGTATTTTTTGTAAGGCAGTTTTGCCACCTGGGAGATATTACCTCTGGTGGTTCTAGATGAAAATCCCATTTTGATCCCCCTCTTTGCTGCTGTTCTGTGTGTGAGATTTGTAGCCATTGCCTTCATTGAAAATCATTCTGAAAGCAACTACAGATCCACAAGAGAAACCGATCAGAAGTTGAGGCATCAGACCTTTACATTAGGCATACAGTCCCAAGGCCAGCCCATCACATAATTTTGCAGTATATAGTGACATTTTAAAGTGGTTGTAAACCTCAGACATGAAATATGAACAAAGCATATCGCTCTATAGTGTGTACTTATCTCTATCCAGAGCACTAAGTGTCATTTCTGTCTGCTGCCCTGTTCCTCTGCTATTTGCATGACTGCCTAATGACAAGTTTTCCTGACACCAAGAGAAAGAAAGGTGCCAGGGGAGGGAGCTCCAGCAGATTGATCGCTTCAGCTCTGTCCCTGTGTGCTGTGTGAAAGGGAGTGTGCCCCTTCCCTCCAATTGGCCAGCTTAAACATGTATTGCAATGTACAGTCAGGTCCATAAATATTGGGACATCAACACAATTCTAACATTTTTGGCTCTATACACCACCACAATGGATTTGAAATGAAACAAACAAGATGTGCTTTAACTGCAGACTGTCAGCTTTAATTTGAGGGTATTTACATCCAAATCAGGTGAACAGTGTAGGAATTACAACAGTTTGCATATGTGTCTCCCACTTGTTAAGGGACCAAAAGTAATGGGACAATTGGCTTCTCAGCTGTTCCATGGCCAGGTGTATGTTATTCCCTCATTATCCCAATTACAATGAGCAGATAAAGGTCCAGAGTTCATTTCAAGTGTGCTATTTGCATGTGGAATCTGTTGCTGTCAACTCTCAAGATGAGATCCAAAGAGCTGCCACTATCAGTGAAGCAAGCCATCATTAGGCTGAAAAAACAAAACAAACCCATCAGAGAGATAGCAAAAACATTAGGCATGGCCAAAACAACTGTTTGGAACATTCTTAAAAAGAAGGAACGCACCGGTGAGCTCAGCAACACCAAAAGACCCGGAAGACCACGGAAATAACTGTGGTGGATGACCGAAGAATTGTTTCCCTGGTGAAGAAAACACCCTTCACAACAGTTGGCCATATCAAGAACACTCTCCAGGAGGTAGGTGTATGTGTGTCAAAGTCAACAATCAAGAGAAGACTTCACCAGAGTGAATACAGAGGGTTCACCACAAGATGTAAACCATTGGTGAGCCTCAAAAGCAGGAAGGCCAGATTAGAGTTTGCCAAACGACATCTAAAAAAGCCTTCACAGTTCTGGAACAACATCCTATGGACAGATGAGACCAAGATCAACTTGTACCAGAGTGATGGGAAGAGAAGAGTATGGAGAAGGAAAGGAACTGCTCATGATCCTAAGCATACCACCTCATCAGTGAAGCATGGTGGTGGTAGTGTCATGGCGTGGGCATGTATGGCTGCCAATGGAACTGGTTCTCTTGTATTTATTGATGATGTGACTAAAGCTGACAAAAGCAGCAGGATGAATTCTGAAGTGTTTCGGGCAATATTATCTGCTCATATTCAGCCAAATGCTTCAGAACTCATTGGACGCCGCTTCACAGTGCAGATGGACAATGACCCAAAGCAGACTGCAAAAGCAACCAAAGAGTTTTTTAAGGGAAAGAAGTGGAATGTTATGCAATGGCCAAGTCAATCACCTGACCTGAATCCGATTGAGCATGCATTTCACTTGCTGAAGACAAAACTGAAGGGAAAATGCCCCAAGAACAAGCAGGAACTGAAGACAGTTGCAGTAGAGGCCTGGCAGAGCATCACCAGGGATGAAACCCAGCGTCTGGTGATGTCTATGCGTTCCAGACTTCAGGCTGTAATTGACTGCAAAGGATTTGCAACCAAGTATTAAAAAGTGAAAGTTTGATTTATGATTATTATTCTCTCCCATTACTTTTGGTCCCTTAACAAGTGGGAGGCACATATGCAAACTGCTGTAATTCCTACACCGTTCACCTGATTTGGATGTAAATACCCTCAAATTAAAGCTGACAGTCTGCAGTTAAAGCACATCTTGTTTGTTTCATTTCAAATCCATTGTGGTGTATAGAGCCAAAAATGTTAGAATAGTGTCAATGTCCCAATACTTATGGACCTGCCTGTATGTGAGCTAAATATCTCTATTCTTTGTCTGCTGGAAAGGGTGTATACCAGTGTGCAGAGGGGTCCTTCAGAATTCCCTCCAATCAGCTCTTAGAGTTCTTGTACAGTGTGTAACTGTAACTCCCTGCCCCCTGCTCCCTGCTTTGTGAGTCTGTGAAAAATCCTTTTCATCTCTGAGTTTTACAAGGATGTACAGGACAAATGGCTGCAAAAAAACAGGTACAACTTATGTAGGAGGATTGGTTTCATCTCTGTATACCACCTGAGTAGTCACATGTAAGGATTTACAACCACTTTATATTCCAGTGTTCTCCTATTTGTTTGGTTCTGATCCCATTTACATGGAATAAATAATATAATTAAGGCATTGCTCTGTCCAAAATAATCAGTGGAGCCCACAGTAGCCAACCTTTTGGTTCCAATCACTAAGGGCTGGTCGCTGTCACCAAAACGAGCATTTTCAAACATGGACGGCGATGTCACACGATGCAGTATAGAAGAGTTAAACCTTAGTACACGATGAGAAATCAGACAAAAATACTGCTTTCAAAGCAATCGTCCGATAATCTGATCGTTAGTACACAGCTTTCAAGAATCAATCACGACTGTTCATGCAAAATTATCCAAAGGGACAAGCACAAAAAGTTTTCTCATACGATAACAGAATGAACGATTTTTGTTTTAATTACTACAGTATCCTTCCGTTTAAAAAAAAAAAAAAAAAGTCAAGTGCCCAAACCACTCATGCTTAGAAACGAAGGAATACATTACAACACAATGCATTACATCACTTCCAAAGTTGTATTCTGTCTTTATGTAACTTTAGTAGCACATTTATTTTCAATATGAGACTAACATAAAAAATGGACAATCATTTCTTCGAAATTCTCATTGCATTTAAGCTCTGAACCAGAAGTGTTCACTATAGAATCTATCCAGTTCCCTCCAATCCCTACTGTACATCACAAACTAAGTGCATTCCTCACTATGGAAGAAGTTGGACTAAGATGTAAAAGATAAAGTGGAGTCATGAAAAGGCTTTGTTGTCCGAAGCAGCAAATCTGATTGTAGATGTTTTTTTTCCTATAGCTTTTACAAGTCTACCTCACTGTCTCCATATTGTCAGTGCTAATGCTGTTCTTTCTTGTACTGTAGGTTAATTGTCTTTTCTTTGTTTTAGAATTTTCCTGTGATGTGACTGAGAGCTCCTTACATCTATACAATATCAAAAAAACTTGAAAGAGTGCCTGGGGAGCTCTCCTCTTAAAGCAGTGCCATTCACAGGATCAATGACCCACAAGCACTTCTCTGCAGCTTCTCTATAGGAGATCATCAGAGTGAGAGTTTGTTAAAGAAAGACCTGACCACTATCGGTCAGTGAATGTATGGCTTGATGCGCATAGCAC